CAGTTCCTTACTATTGCTGCATCGAATCACGAATGAGAAGAAAGTTTCCTTTCAAGAGGTTACAACTGGGAACTAAGCTGGAAATCAAAGAACCACTGAGGACGAGGTTGATGAATTGCCCGTGGCCTTGAGCGTCCTCCAATAGTGTTAATTGCACTGAAGATTCAAGACATCTTCCGGCCTTCCAGAGGCACCAGTTTCTTCGTGCACATGCCATATCAAATTTGAGGCTAAACAATGGCGAATCTTATAGGTATAGGCCTAGTCATTATTGTTTGCAGTCTTTGGAAATTGTATCTGTTGAAATTCAACTGAAAACAATTAATAGCAAAAGTTACTGGCTTACCTGTAAACTAACAGAGTGATGGCACTCCCAACAAGGAGGAGACAGCACGCTACGATGAGGGTTATTTTCCAGGTTGAACCTGCAGGGAAACATTGTTGAAGTTTATTCTTTTTGGAGGTGTTTTCTTGCAGAGTTTAACACATAGTGTGCCATTCACGCACTGAAAGCAGTGAAACTTAAGAACACTTTAGCAAACAAACTTTGCAATCAACTGACTGCTTTGGTTCTCCCCTAAGAAACAAAGACCCAACTGTTTTCAAGTTCCCTCCCAAACCGTTTGTATCTTCGATACCCAACAACTTGCAGTGCTCTACCTTGCATCTGGCACGCAGGATTCTCGTTATCGAACCCACAGAACGGAGTGTCGGGCGGCGGACCCGTCGCCTCTCCTGGCCAAGCGATATTACCCACAAACTCCAGCTCGCCTGTCGCACCGTGAAAATTAGCTACTACCTAATTATAATATAATGCAACACAGAAAAAAAGTTCCAAGGAAGCATACTCAAACTGTAGATCCTACAAGCCACTAAACACAGTGATATCCATCTGCATACATACTGACTCCTACTTTTCATGTCAAAGAGGCCAATGCACAATGAAGTAGAACATTACGATTCTTGATGGAACAAAATTAAAATAAAAGTAGGGCTCTGTCTGGTCTGGCATTGTGCACACGTTCGGATTGTCTCGGCTAGAGGGGATCAGAACTTGCATTCCACGCACGGCATCTTTTCTGGATTGTATATATTTAGATGTTTACATGAGTTATCGAAATTCTGCGGTCTGTGATCCTACCATTTGGATGTTTCGTAGAGCAGTCTTGTAATATTTTGCCGGCATGGGATTTAAGGTTATTATTTTTTTTGTTCAGTAACCTAAAAAAAAGTGGAAATTCCATGCGACATAGAATAAAAAATAATTGGTGTATCAGTCTTCTTACAACACGCCCTGCAGATTTTGTCCTGACACCGAAGTTGCCTTGTTTTCCGGTCCCTCGGTCACTTTGACCACTTTATAGAACAACAAAATGTTTAGAAATTGCTTTAAAAGACAATATCATGGTAAATAAGCCTAAAAGTGGAGAAGACATTTTTAGGTGAATCGTTACCGTGCGAATGCATATATCAGCTATACTTTCTGGGTGTATGTTCAATAGCCCACTTAATTATAAGGTCACACTGTATTTTGACACCAGACTGAAATAAAGCATATGGCAACAAGAAATAATGCCGGGACTCACAATGAAACCCATAGCTTTCATTGCCTTCGATCGCGCCGTCGTCGCATCTCGATTCATTTCAAGGATGTTTAAGAGGGTGGCGGATACCCGCTTTACAATGGCCAAAAACATTGCCATGATTAATTCAATTCATTATGGAACGGCCGTTGTGCAACGCGGTTTGCTTCGGACAGCTAAATACAATGCATCAGGAAAAATCGTATCTCAAGGTCCCCACTCTGACAACATCAGTTAGAAATTTACTAAATTAATTGATAATCTATTGAGATCTGCAATCAAATCAGTTATTATGAATTCTCTGTGATCGGGGGAATTTCCAACGACTGCTGCATTTTCGCCATCATTAAAACTTTTTCGACACGACAAAACATCCATGACAGTGTCACGCACGGCATCTTTTTTAGATTATATAGGTACCATTAGAATACCGAGTTATATGCTCATACCGTTTGTGGGTATTTCTGTAAAGTAGTCTTGCATTATTTTTGCCAGCATGACCATTATTCGTTGTGCAAGTCTCTGTAAAGGATAGGACATCATGACATGCAAGAGCCGCTCTGAATTCTGCGTTCTTCCTGAAAACGCTCGAGCAATTTTCGAATTGCCCCTTACTTGTTTACACAACGTGCCGGTGTCAATGGCGACATAAATTGTCAGTTCTTATATCTGACATTTATAGGAGTAGGCCTACAATGCATTTTCTGAGGTGGCAGGCTTTGTTTGGGATCTTGGAGAAAGCAGCTAAATGAATTAGGCACAAGCCTGATTGAAATACCACAGAAAAAGGCAAGAACTACTGCGAAATTTAATTCCTTTAAAAAAAATTAATTTCAAGTCTAATATCCTGAATCACATCCTTGGAGTGGGGTCAATCTTGTAAATTCATCACGACTTGTCCACTGGATGTAGGCCTACCTACTGAATTCATTATAGCCACTACCACCGTTTGAGTCCACTCCCCCGAACTGCCTGGTGCAAGAGAGAACCGGGACAAATCTCTTGCAGTTACATCCCATCTACCTGTGCATGAAGAATCACCCCGTATATACCTCCACGCTCTGGTAAGACTTACCGACATGTCCCCGTTCACGGTGTCGGTCATGTCCCAAAGAGAGTAGTCGGCGTCAGGATCACCATTTTCGTTTACTGTGACATTGCCAGAGATACCTGTCGGCAAAAATACAGTGGCATCCAGGATAATAAGGCAAAGTAAGGGAAGAGAAACGACCGAAAAAGACCGAAAACAAACACCCCCCCAAAAAACCCATTTGGTATACAAACAAATTAAACCTGGGTTGTTTCGAAAGCCTTTTTAAAATCTCGTTTTTTCGTTTTTTCTTTTTTTTTTTGGTTTTCTTTTGTTTTTTTTTTTTTGTTTTTTGTTCAACATTCGTGGTACAAAATTGCGAAAAACCTCAAGTCTACGACTCCTCACTCTACAAAACGTACTAAGTAAAAACCAAAAAGGACCGCGGTACGTTTCCTTCTTTTTTTAATTTTGTTTAAGGTGTTTAATGCATTGATCTTTTCAAGTTCCATATACATCTATTCTTCCCCTCTATTCTTTTTTTCTAAATGTATTATTGTAGTGTACAAAAACTATTTGCCCATTCAAGATTTCAGTAGATTGTGATGTCTCGGACGAATTTTATTGCTCTTCATTGGGAATTTTATTGAATTGGCAAGCGTATTGTTTTGGATTATGGCTGCCGCATTTTGTGACCACGAGCTCAAAGACAAAGAATGAATTTTTCCAATTAATTTAACTATATACAAACTGATCATACCTTAAAGTTCATCTAAGCTCACGATAAACTAGGTGACAATTTGTTGGAAATGAATAATTTACGTCCTATCAATAGCTAAATAAAATGTGTACACCCACTCAACGTAAAAGGATGTCCTCCTGTATACCTGCATACAGTAAATGTAGTGCAATAGATTTGTTCTATTATTTCATGATCTCACCGTCGAAAGTTCGGTTCCACATTTTCCTGGTGAGTGTGTAACCATCCGATAAGTTACCATTCTCGCCTAAAGTCTCGTTCACGGCGAGAGAAAACAAGATAATGACGTCATGAAAGGCGCTTGTAAAAAAGTTGTGCTGTAACAAAAAATAAAACGAAATGTTTCAAACACATCTAAGATTTATTTGTCTTTCCAGAAATGGAAATTACTGTNCAAGGGGATCAGAACTTGCATTCGACGCACGGCATCTTTTCTGGATTGTATATATTTAGATGTTTACATGAGTTATCGAAATTCTGCGGTCTGTGATCCTACCATCTGTATATTTCGTAGAACAGTCTTGTAATATTTTACCGGCATGGGATTTAAGATTATTATTTTTTTGTTCAGTAACCTAAAAAAAAGTGGAAATTCCATGCGACATAGAATAAAAAATAATTGGTGTATCAGTCTTCTTACAACACGCCCTGCAGATTTTGTCCTGACACTGAAGGTGCCTTGTTTTCCGGTCCCTCGGTCACTTTGATCACTTTATAGAACAACAAAATGTTTAGAAATTGCTTTAAAAGACAATATCATGGTAAATAAGCCTAAAAGTGGAGAAGACATTTTTAGGTGAATCGTTACCGTGCGAAAGCATATCAGCTATACTTTCTGGGTGTATGTTCAAAAGCCCATACAAGTGTGTATTTGCCTGCAACTGGGGACCCCCTATTGTTCCTCTTTTGATTGTACTTAAACTTTTTTAGAAGACCACCCATATGTTTTGTACACAGTTGTCCATCGGGGACCCTCTGTCAATCGGGGACCTTATTATCCTCTATTGTTCAAGGTCCCCAATTGAATGCAGAAACAAACTCACTAAATTATAAGGTCACACTGTATTTTGGCACCAGACTGAAATAAAGCATATGGCAACAAGAAATATTGCCGGGACTCACAATGAAACCCATAGCTTTCATTGCCTTCGATCGCGCCGTCGTCGCATCTCGATTCATTTCAAGGATGTTAAAGAGGGTGGCGGATACCCGCTTTACAATGGCCAAACACACTGCTATGATTAATTCAATTCATTATGGAACGGCCGTTGTGCAACGCAGTTTGCTTCGGACGGCTAAATACAATGCATCAGGAAAAATCGTATCTCGAGGTCCCCAATCTGACAACATCAGTTAGAAATTTACTAAATTAATTGATAATCTATTGAGATCTACAATCAAATCAGTTATAATGAATTCTCTGTGATCGGGGGAGGGTCCAACGACTGCTGCATTTTCGTCATCATTAAAACTTTTTCGACATGACAAAACATCCATGACAGTGTCACGCACGGCATCTTTTTTAGATTGTATATGTATTATTAGAATACCGACTTATATGCTCATACCGTTTGTGGGTATTTCTGCCAGCATGACCATTATTCGTTGCGCAAGTCTCTGTAAAGGATAGGACATCATGACATGCAAGAGCCGCTCTGAATTCTGCGTTCTTCCTGAAAACGCTCGAGCAATTTTCGAATTGCCCCTTACTTGTTTACACAACGTGCCGGTGTCAATGGCGACATAAATTTTCAGTTCTTATATCTGACGTTTATAGGAGTAGGCCTACAATGCATTTTCTGAGGTGGCAGGCTTTGTTTGGGATTTGGAGAAAGCAGCTAAATGAATTAGGCACAAGCCTGATTGAAATACCACAGAAAAAGGCAAGAACGACTGCGAAATTTAATTCCTTTAAAAAAATTAATTTCAAGTCTATCCTGAATCACATCCTTGGAGTGGGGTCAATCTTGTAAATTCATCACGACTTGTCCACTGGATGTAGGCCTACCTACTGAATTCATTACAGCCACTACCACCGTTTGAGTCCACTCCCCGAACTGCCTGGTGCAAGAGAGAACCGGGACAAATCTCTTGCAGTTACATCCCATCTACCTGTGCATGAAGAATCACCCTGTATATACCTCCACCCTCTGGTAAGACTTACCGACATGTCCCCGTTCACGGTGTCGGTCATGTCCCAAAGAGAGTAGTCGGCGTCACGATCACCATTTTCGTTTACTGTGACATTGCCAGAGATACCTGTCGACAAAAATGCAGTGGCATCCAGGATAATAAGGCAAAGAAAGGGAAGAGAACCGACCGAAAAAGACCGAAAACAAACACCCCCCCCAAAAAAAAAACCATTTGGTATACAAACAAATTAAACCTGGGTTGTTTCGAAAGCCTTTTTAAAATCTCGGTTTGTTTGTTTTTTTTTTTGGTTTATTTTTTTTTTGGTTTTTTGATTCAGCATTCGTGGTACAAAATTGCAAAAAACCTCAAGTCTGCGATTCCTCACTCTACAAAACGTACTAAGTAAAAACCAAAAAGGACCGCGGTACGTTTCCTTCTTTTTTAAATTTTGCTTAAGGTGTTTCATGCATTGATCTTTTCACGTTCCATATACATGTATTCTTCCCCTCTATTCTTTTTTCTAAATGTATTATTGTGGTGTACAAAAACTATTTGCCCATTCAAGAATTCAGTAGATTGTGATGTCTCGGACGAATTTTATTGCTCCTCATTGGGAATTTTATTGAATTGGCAAGCGTATTGTTTTGGATTATGGCTGCCGCATTTTGTGACCACACCTTAAAGTTCATCTAAGCTCACGCTAAACTAGGTTGGAAATGAATAATTTACGTCCTATCAATAGCTAAATAAAATACGAACATCCACTCAACGTAAAAGGATGTCCTCCTGTGTACCTGCATACAGTAAATATAGTGTAATAGATTTGTTTTATTACTTCAGGATCTCACCGTCGAAAGTTCGGTTCCACATTTTCCTGGTGAGTGTGTACCCATCCGATAAGTTACCATTCTCGCCTAAAGTCTCGTTCACGGCGAGAGAAAACAAGATAATGACGTCATGAAAGGCGCTTGTAAAAAAGTTGTGCTGTAACAAAAAATAATAGGGAATGTTTCAAACACATCTAAGATTTATTTGTCTTTCCAGAAATGGAAATTACCAACGTGTCTTAATGTAAGAATGCAAATCTAAATGTTTCATACATGTAGGTTTATAACCTCCCCCCCCATATTCAACTCAATACACAGAATAACTAATCAACTGCCCATGTGCAATTTGCAAATCAATTACAAAAAGGAAAATTGGAAAACCTTTATTTTGACAAGTTTGAAGTAACGTTTATCTTAGCCCTTAAAGAGCCGGTGGCGAAATCCCTCCCAAACTTCTTTTTAATATCGTTACCAGGCATTTTTTTCAATAGCTGAGCTTTTAGGAGTGTTCATAGTAACTCTTTTCACCCATTTTTACATCAATTTACCGTTCTTGCGCGCGCCCAAAATAGGTCAGCCAAAAACTGTACGTAGTTTCCACTGCGGTGCTCAACATTTGCACGCGGGCTGGCACGCATCATGGCACATATGTACCATTGAACTTCAAACGAGCGTAACAACTAAATCACTAGTAATGATAAAGAGTGTGTTTACATTCACGGCAGAGTTCTCTCCCCCGGCGGTGAGATGGGCCAAAATAACCCAGCTCCGGTAAAAGAAATAGATTATGGACTCCCGAGCCACTTGCGAGTTAAATTTGAATCAAATCTGGTACACTGTGTTATCTGATTGCAAACGTAACAATTTGAATTCCCAGGACTAAAGACACTGTTGCTATACCTCGTTATACCCAGCAAGAAATGAGACCGAGGGGTACCCCCCCAACATGTCCAATCCCTATACACATTCCAGACTGTTGTTACTTAACACATCCCCCCCAAGATGTCTGAAAGGAATTCACCAGATTCCTGCGAGACAATGACCAACACAAGCAGGGGGGGTTCTCTCCGTCTCATACCTTGCTGCATATGTACCTCGTGATTCGGGGCAAGATTTTTGCATAGCGAGTACCATCTCTGGGATGGACTGGTTCCTTTGTGCCATTCTTATCCATCGAGAACAGTGTATTGTTGCAAGGCGTCTCTTACGTAACTAAGCAAAAGCTTGCCCCGAAGCACAAGGTATAACTACATTGGCTTTAGTATGGAGAATTCAAGTTGTTATGTGCACGTGAATTTTAAAAACTCAGTGTACCAGTTTTTATTCAAATTTAACTTGCAAATGCTCAAATGGCTTATTGGCAACTAGCCATGAGTACCCCTTGCGCCTGAATTTCTGCGTTGCTCACTTAAGTCATTTAAGTGGTACTTCAAGAAAGCAGTAGCTGCCCCTGGTACTGGCTTGTCAGATTAGAGCTTTCGTATCTATTTCTTTTAGAAAAAGTCCGTTAGGGGGAGCCATTACTGTCATTAAAATGTTCACTCAAGGTCTATCAACGTTCAGCCAGGGTGGATTTTGCAGTCAGATGAAATAGTCCTGGTTGTTTTCTGAGAATACAAACTGTGGAGAGTAAAAAGTCTCTTTTAGACATGATCGAGAGACCTAAAAGCCTAAAAGCTGTGGCTGCAGCCGACAATTAAGCGAATATGACTTAAATCGACTGCCAACAGCCTCCAAAGGCACACTTGTTATCCCCACATGTGGTCCAACTTTGTTTCCTCTGTTTATCTGCTCATTTATCATCGGTTTTTAAGGTCAAGGTGCAAGACTGGGGAGACAATCTGAGCGTTGGTGCACAGAATTGCGCCTTGTGTGTGAAAGAAAATCCAAGGTTGGTCACGGAAAAATGGCATTTTCTCAGACATGCGTACGTGTGCAATGTCAGTTACTACAAAACGTATAATTATATGCGACCAGTTTTTCACGTCTCTCTGTTTGGATTTTCTTCGATACTAACCGACACGGTGCGGCTTTGACGTTATTAGACAACAAAACAAGCTCAATGTTTCAAAACATCAGCCTGCGGACGTCACAGAGTTACATCTAAAAACTATGTAACTCTATGGCGTAGGCCGTCTATTTAAAACACCAAACAAATTATAAATGCATACTGAATGTGTGGAGTGAATTCGACCATGACATCCTCACCGTCCATTGTATTCGGAAGCTCTCGTTGTGAGTTAATAAATTTAATAATGAGCGTGTGATATTAAATTTAGATCACAAGTTTAATATATAGTTGTAAGAGAAAGAAACCATCATTGGACATTCTCTGCCTGAACTAACCGCAAAAACCAATAGAGCTATTATTAAATTCAATACAGCTCCGTGAGACAACCCCATTTGGCGTGTGCTTTGAAGCACAGTTGAATGGATTAGATGATTTCGGGGTGGAAGTGGAAGTGATTGCTGAAGCAAAAGCATTAAGCTGTTAAGTGCACACTAGTAAAGGGATTGCTCACGACTTTTGGTAACACTCAAACCCCTACATTGCTCTCAGAAATTATGGCATCAAGTCCTTCAAATGTTATTGAAATAAGCAGCCAAGTTAGATCCACTAGAACTGATAAAGCAGTCCCATTCTCTGGAAAAACAAACGACCTAGTAAAAAGTTTCAAAAGTAGACTTTATCGAGTTGCTTAAAGTAAAGAGAATGTATAACAGCACTCCTCGCTTTGCTTTGCATCGCACGAGGGTGCGCCTGTAGGGGAGGGGTTGCAACATGAAAAGTACATGCAATTCTTAATCCCTTTCAGTTTAACTATGAGGACAATTGGTATGTATCCAAACATACTTTCCTTTTCACATTTTGTTCACTTTTTCCTTGAAGTGAATAAACAAAATAAACGAATACGTAACGTAGAATTTTAAAAAAATCTCCAAGGTGAAGAAATAGTGTGAGTGCGGTTACAAATAAACGAATTTTTCAGGTTCTATTTATGCAATAAGGGCATTTAATTGCTGTAAGGTCTCATAAATAATCGTTATTATTGGCTTTTTCATACCGAAATGTATTTTATGACACTTGTCAATTTGCGCGTTTCCCTTTCAGAGACTTGACTGTGTTCCTCTTTCGCGGGAATGTGACTATGTGCATAAAATGAATGCAGCACCACGATAGAGAAATACATTGCTGTATAAAAAAATTACTCTATCTGAAACCTGAAGATTTTCCTAGTTCTAAATGAAAACAGTTTTTTTTGTATGTTGATAAGTAGTTTTATTGCTTACGTCATCTCCAGGTGGACTTGTCCAATTAAAATCCCGCTTACGGCGCAGCTCTAACTCTTTTTGGAAGTCTTGAAACTCGTCGCTGGTTGGCTCATGTAATCGGAATGTCATCAAAGCCTCGAATGCTCGTTTGGCCTCGATGTCAAATTCGTCTCCCTGGGAGAATGAAACCAGAAATCAACATCCGCATATACAGAATGTAGAATAATGAATGGAACCAGCGAATACGTGTTGTTGGAAGGGGGTTCGTTACTTACAAGGAAATTTAAACACTATTATTTAATTATAACTTAATTATCTTTTATGCTGTTTCTGTGTCTTTTTTTAAATGACGAACGATATACAAATGAAGTATCCACGCATTTAGGCATAATTCAATTGGAAAATAAATTTTCAAACGGAATCGATTTCGCAGCATTACAAATACCACAAGTTACCTGCAGACAAAAATGGTCCAGTATTAATATTACACTGCGTATAACTGTTTGCCCCTAAGAATGTATAAAGTTGTATTTTACGCTTAAAATGAGTTTCTGCCACAATTGGCTGACGATAAAAAAAATCCATTGCAAGGAGCTTCCCGGCAGAGCTAGGATTTACAAGCTTCTCTTACCCCGAAACCCTAGCGACTGTTTTGTCGCTTTAGTTTTGAAAGAGCACTGGCACAGACACGCCGTACTTCCTAGTCTTGCTTTAGCCCCACTGCTCTCCTTTATTTTTGTACTTTTAAGAATCTTTGAGCTCTAACCCTCTGCCATGATGAGTCTCCGAAGCGCCACCTGTTGTTGATCAAGTGCACAGAGAAGAAGACATACTCCCCGCTGGTGTATCCCGCCTGGTACGCCTTGATCATGATATCCCGGACCACGTCCACGGGAGCGATAACTAATATAACTGGGATTGCCAGAAGGAGAAAACCAAGGAGGAGGTACTTGAAATGTGGAGTTTTAACTAACTCGTGTATCGTTCGGAAGTCCAAGGGAAACATTACATGACAAGCTATCTGGAAACAAACGTAGGTCTGAAATAACTCGCTGTGAACAATATGGTAAAGCTGTTGATAGTTGACAATTAAAAAAGCCACTGTGGAGGTCTTAGACAACATTTGTGCCATCTGCGGTGGATTTAATATATTTTGACATGCAAGACAGAACAAATAGCTTCTTTATAAAAGGAAGCTTCGTAAAAATAAGAGATACAGATGCCCAAGAAAATGCAGAAAGATATCGAATGATTTCACTTCGACTTACCCCGTCCTCTCCGTGCTGCAGCATCCAATGCATCTTGCGTTGATTCTTGCAATCCAAGAACAACCGGGTGGACATAGATGTTAGCTTCTTCAAGTCTGCTTCTGATACTGACTGTGATCAGCTTCCAAACACTGACATCATCCCAGATGATGGAGCATCGAGTCCAAGACCACTTCCGGAAGAGAGCCACCGAAAAATGCCCCATCACGCCCATAAGGAACGCGGTCCTAGTCAGTGTTGTGTATTGTCCTTTGTTATCCAGATCTCCCGAAGTTGAAGCGCCAGACAGGACCGGGACATTCCAGTAAGCAGCCAGGTCGGCTACTGCCTTGCACTGAAAGCTGCAACCCGGACCGAGGAACACTCTCACCCCTCGCCGGTAAAACATGTCGGAGGCAATACCGGGGGCGACCATGGACGACGGGGTGCATCTGGTACCGGTGGACTGGAACTCGTACGTGAAGCTGAAGTTTAGGTACGCGCCGGTGTCCACGCGACGTCTAACCGTCTCGAGGGCGATATCAACGGCCGGCTGGATGCGAACGCGGTCGAAGATCTCTCTACCGCCAATCTCGAGTAAAAGCCCGAGACGAATTTCACGGGCATCTGATTGCAATTCCAGTGACGAGATTTGCAGACGCGCGTATTGCAGTATGCCAACAAACATAACAATCATTCGACTCTGACCTGGAATCATTGTTGTTTAGAATGAATTTTTCTTTCAAAATTTGAGAACGACGTAAGGATGGGAACTTCGTTACGATACCAACTACTTCACAGTACGGTATATCGATATGCAACCTTTGCAGAAGAAGGTGAAACGGTGACGTTGGCGGTACCAGTGTACTATGATCTTGATGCAAGGTAAATTGGCTTTATGCGCCGTAAGGCACGTTACTGATCAAGAATATATAGGCTTAACCCATCAATCCCTAACTCCGCTAGCGCATGCGCAGGGAAATATTTACAGTGACGTATCCACGTCTCAGGTCTTCCTTTAAAAAACCAATGTCCAATATTTTTATGCACCAAAGAACTCTCCTCAAAAGAAAGGTGGTATTACCGTTTCTAAAATGCACTTTCAATTTAAGAGTAGAAACTTGAGTCCACCCCCCCCCAGACCACCGGCTAAAATAAAAGGAACAGTATTCCTTTTGATTTCAGAGTTACGCAGGCAAGAAGTTAAACCAACATATCAAACAGGATAAGCGCTGTTGTGAAGCAGTGAAATGCAGTTCCCGCCTTATTAAACATACATACAATTCAGGTTACATACATACAAACAATTTGGGTTATAGGGGCCTAGATCACACCCTGGACCTTTAGTGCACGAATAAGTTTCTCCAAATCAACTGTAAGACACCAAGGCCCAATTTTTTGGAATGGCTTAAACTGCCTATCCCCAACGCGTACCGTTTATCAATTCAAGAAACATCTGAAGAGTTTCTTACTTACCAGTGATTTTTACTCATAAATATTCATGGTACTATTTACATGTATTACGAAAGACCTAATCCTAACTGCCTTAATCTTAAACCAGCTAAATGAGTTTGTATTGTACTGAGACAATTTGATGTAACTTATATTTTGTCCAAAACGTGTAGAAATGGAATGTTCATCGTAAGAAGGGGTGCTGAGTCTCGTATATATAAGCCTCAGATTTTTTCCCAGCATCCTACATCTTTGTTTATTGTATATGAATTAATATCATAACATTGTGTTTCTTGTTACTCTGAATTTATTTTCTTTATTCATCTACCTGCAATGTTAACGAAGATGTGAAATACACCAAACCAAACCTACGGAGCCTCCGTTGCTAGGAAAATTGCCCGCTTTTTATCCCAATGGGAGCGGATGTGCAGATGCCAATCCAGAATACCATATCGTACAATTAATTACACTGGTTTGAGAAAAGGCGGGAGTGTGGGTTGAAAACAATTATTGAAGCGACTGGTTTCCAGGTAATTTCAAGAGCGCTGTGTGAAGACTAGCGTCATTAACACCATTCTGACACATCGTCTGTTGTTCAAGGTGTACAGTTTGTCGGGTGGATAGCAGTCTCAAACAACCTAAAACAGATCGGGATTTGGCCACTGATTTGGTCAGCCAACTGTGGCTGTTTGTTTAGATCAGGAGTAATTGATTCTGAGGTGATTTGGACATCAACATTGGCAGAAATGTGTATTTACTAATCGTCATTGCTGTATCACATTTGGATACAGGAAGAGTTTCCAGCGAGGACTTACTTCTAGAAATGGATACAGTTTTAGGGTACAAGGTTGCACAGCCAGTCTCCACGGTTAAGTACCATTGACGTGAACCAGTAGGTTATAGCCAAGAATACATCCTTGTTGAAGCAAAATTTCAAATACACACATAAAAACTAAAATCTGCGATTTGTAAAAGTATATTTACAAAATTGTGACTTTAACTTTCATCGTGTGTTCTGAAATGGTAATGTTTTGAAGTAGTCCCAGATAAACACCATCCATTCCCACGTTTTTACTACTCCATACGCGTATAGCCGTGACTTACATGGTCATGATTTCTTACTTTTATACAACTAACGGAAAATCACTATGTTATATTAAGAGAGAGGCACTTTTACAGCGGGAGTAACTACAAGTTATAGAGGAATGTTTCCTCTTTCTGCCAACGGCGCTCAATACAGAATGGCTTGATTCTCTCTATACATCTGGCGCTGGAAACTAAAAACTTTTACAATAGTAGACGGCTTTAACCGAGCAATAAATCCACGTGTCTGATCTGTCGCGTGACAAACTTAAACTTTTCGAAACAAGAATCCTTAACATATGGAAATGAGAAAAGTCAGTGCACGTCACTTCTTTCCTTTCAAGGCAAGCTCATCTACTCCACTACTCCCAGCAGTTGGTTGATTAAGAAAAATTCGCCACCTCGCATTATTGTCTCCAACCCAACAGATCTCATTAGCAGGGCCTAAAACAATCGCTGTTCTTTTCCTTTCCCTGATGAACCGGAAATCATTGACACTAGAGGGCCTCCCAACGACTGTTACATCACAGTCCAACCCAATATGAAGAGCACTGTTAACTCCTCATACTGTAGCTGCTTACAAGACTGAAAACTTAGGATCTGTATTCTTTGCTTGACTCTGAAAGGCAAATCCAATCTCTCTGGGGAAAATGTATTTCTTTGTCCTTTTATACACCCCATGTCACTCAGCTACTGCGGCTCTGGAGTGAATTATTTCGGCAAGTGTTAAAAAATGACGAAACGTATGAGCTCTTGGGGAAATGATGTTCTAACAAAAAAAAGATTTAAAAAAAAAGGTTGTTTCATGTTACGACAAGACCCTGCATTGGTGACACGAGCTGTGGCTGACATGCGCCGCCGTTGTGAACTCAGCATTGAAAGGGAAGGCGGACACGCTGAAGGTGTCGGTGCATAATTAACTATGAATTACGTTATGGGTAAATAATCGGTGTGCCCCTGATATCTTATCCAGGACAAGCATGACAGAGGCCAGCCTCATTCACTGGTTTATCCAAAGTGTTACAACTGAGTTCGGATGCCCCATTTTCAAGACAATGGTGTTCAGTCATGCATGACAGGAGGGATACCATCAAGGTATCATTAGAAAGAATACTGCTTCTACTTTTCCGAGATCCTTATACATAATAATCATATCTCACGGTTTGGGCATATTAACCCCTTTCCTCAGGGTTTGGTTTTTTTTTCTGGGACACCCTGTATAATAAAAATACTGCAGATACAGAGCGCCCTCAGCCGATAGATTTTACTCATAAGATGTAAAGATGTCCTTCAGTGACAGTGGTTGGGGGATGTATT